GGGAAACAAGCATCTAAATAGACAAGGTTTTAAAATTTATAAATACAAAAAGTCATGAACTTTTTTGAGCCAAACACTTGGACAGCTTCCTGAATGTATAGCAGGAGATGTTCTTTACTTAATCAGTGCCTAAAAATTTTTTATGGTTCTTGGGCTCGCTAAATAAAATCACTTCAATAACTGTTTTTTAAATAAGACTAGACTTGCCCAAATGTATATTTCGTAATACAAATGCCTAGCAGTTATTTTCAAGTTCTCTTCATATTCAAACTTTCCTCAAAAAGAGTTCACCATTGTTTGATGACTGAAATTTCCTATTCCCTCTGATGTCTTTCACCGAACTTTAGGTATTCGTGAGACTAGCTACCATTTAGAGTCACGATGGATGCAAAACACTGGTGATGGCTCTTTGTTAATGTAAAATTACGATATGATCTTCGAGCGAAAAAATGTTTCAAATTTAATACAGTAATCCAGTGAGCAATTGTTACACTCCAAATGTGTCTTACTGATGCTGTAGATTTGGGCGAGAGAGAATACGATGGTAATGATAAAACACTGAGAAAATTTCAAACATACTCTTCCCTCATATGGCACTGGAAAAAATTCCCTCACGTGGGGTGAAAAATATAGTAAGCATCAACATTTTACTGGCAAATCCCCCCCCCTATGTGCCATCAAACCGTGAGTTCAATCCATTGGATCCTCCCAAGCACATTCCATAGCTTCCAGCTCATATCAAATGCATTGGCGGACACCGGCGGCTGAGGCGAGTCAACATTTGAGCCCCTTTTCCATCTTCTCACAACAATGGAGAAGAATGGCAAAAAACATGAAAAGAGTAAGTTACGAATTCATTTTTAACATCACCTTAATCATACTTCATCTTCTCGCTTCAGAATCACAGAAGGAAGGTTTGTGGGCGCTTCCACCAAACTATGGCCCCTATCTCGCTTCGGACACAGACTTTCTCAAAGCAGCAGAGATTATGACTACTTACATCTATGGAGAAAGCTGTAATGACAATGACAAGGAGATTCAGGCGAGACATAAAGTTTTTATGGCGCATGGTCTATGTGCAGTTGCGGCCTTGGTGAGAGAATGGTAGCGTGGAAGAGACGCAGACGGCGATGCTAACTTGTGAACTAAAGATGATATTCTGATGCGATAAAGAGAAAAACTTTGCAATCTCGCAACGTCATTTATTTTTTATGTAATTTTTTGTATTTTTGTTTAGTGCGACCTCATCACCGAAGACGGTGGACATGAAATTGATCCTACGAGGCTGAGTTATAGGTGAGAATAATAGCCATTCATTTCGTAATCGGAATGAAATTCAAATAACTCAGGGAGAGAATCCGATGGCACCTAAGGGAGTTCTGCTACAAAACGTCCAGTCATGGTATTCCCATGCTTGGCCAAGCGCCAAATTTCGTCTACAGGTTTTTGCTTTGGACAGTCCACTAATATATCCGGTACTTTTCCGTTATCCGGACCCATTTTCTCAGAGAGGGATATTGCTTCATTCCTTGTACCATACTTGGTCCCAACTTCACAGGAAAAAGTGTCAACCATCTGCCACGTGTCAAAAAACTTTGACATGTGATTCATGTGTTTAACAGGTTTTACCAAAAGTTTGTATAGCCCTACC